TATAAAAAAAATTAGCCCTTTTGTGAGCTTAGAAAATTTAACATTATCAAGGCTCTTTAACTATCAAGCACTTAGAATAGTCGAGCGTGCTGTCCTACCGACAGCTTTTGTTAAGTTCTAGTGTAATTTTGTTAATTTATAAGTTTTTATTAATTCCAACAAGGTGTAGCATTCCTTCTTCTTGGACGTTTTGCGCTTAAAAAATAACCAAATTTCCCGCCTATTGAGGTCTTTGCCATCGCACCTGGCAGTATACCATATAATGAGGAAATCTCATACTTTATTCGGTTGTTGATGCATAGAAAACATCTGAGCAGCGTAAATGCCCATACAAAAAATAATTTACTGGTATAAAAAATGATCGACTTCATTTCAATAATAACCCTCATCCTTCTCTACAGCTAAAGCTAAATGAAAAACAAAGCCATCGGCTAACACGTATATACATATTCACATCCCACTAAGTATTTGGGTTTCGGACGCTTCGGGGGGTTTATAGTTAAAAACGCTCTTTATGAAGCAAGAGATTAACTATCGATTTACACCATATATAAGCTTAGATTAATGACTACACATATCACAATATGGCCTTTCTAATTTGAACAAATAAAATAAAAACTTTACGTTCCAAGAATAGTATAATCTCCAAGCATTTTTATACTGATTTCTGGTTTCTGAAGACCATGACGAGAGTATAACTGTTTCAACCAGGTTAAAGCCTTTTTCCAATGACTGTTGTTCTAGATTGTGTTTAGAGTTAGGAGATTCCTCTAATAAATACATTCTAAAAGATTGCCTTAGAGGGAATACTATTAAAGTCAAAGACAATTCAACCTTTGTACTTCACAAAGTAGATCTCGTTCTAAGGGTTTCTATTTAGCTCTGGTGGCCATCTTGTTCAGCAGACCGATAAAGTTTATCAATTTTAGTAAAAGTCTGACCAATTATCATTTCTGTAGTTTCATCAAAATCTATTGGGGTTGAATATAAGATGTTAAAACACTTTTTTTTGTAATTGTAGCACTGGTGGCCATCTTGTTCAACAGACCGAAACCATTTGGGTATCTTTTATAAATGCCCCTTATTCCTGTATAGATTTATCAAAATCATCCCAATAATGAAGGAGGAGAGGTCATTAAAGAATTTTTATACTTTTCTAAACTTACCTGAAAAAAAGCTCATATGATATTTTCCCCCCTCGCGGGCAGACGAGCTTGGCGGATGACGTTCAAAAGATCAAAAAGAGGGGGCCAGTTTTTTTACACCCAAAGGATCATTCTTTTAACTTTAACATAATCGCAGGGGTCAGGGAACCTAGCCACTAGATGGAAATAAGTAATTGCTGATAAGTGGCTGCTAACTTAAGATGGTTCAAAATTCTTTAAATGTTAATAAGTCACAAAGTCAGAGATGACATTCGCATGAAAAGGCATGTCTTGGTACAAGTTATTTGATGTTAGGAACTCAACAAAATGTGCCCAAAACCTGTTATTTGCTTGTCTGGTAATTCTTGCTAGGGATGCCGCTACCAAATTGCCTTTTATTTCAGCAAAAGCCATGGAGTCATTGACAGTGGAATGGGTGCTGGGCATTTGTTTAGATGAGGAGCGAGCTGAAGGGCTTCTTTGACCTGTAATCGAGATGATTTATCACAGATTATGTTTCTAGATGAACTAATATGTTTTGATTTAAACAAAGGTTGACCTTTAGCGCCTTTATAACTATAAATCTTATTAAATTGGTCATTATTTTGTCTTTAGAAGTTTGACTACAGACAAGTTGTCACTAATAAATACGACATTCTTTCCTGACCATAAATGACCAAACATTACAACTGCTAATGCTACTGGAAATAGCTCTAAGATATTTATATGGAGCTGTTGGATTTGAAATGGAAAACAGCCAAATGTCTAGTCATTGGAGTAAACAATGCCCAAGCCTTTAGAACCGGCTGAATATGTGAATATATTCATAGTTTGATTTGATATTAATCTATCCCCGGTAAGAAGAGTGTAACCATTGTAGTCATGAATGAAATCATGCTACAATTGAATATCAGCCCTGTAATCGTTATTCAATTTTAATGTAGTGATGTTTACCGTGTATTCCCACAGTTATATCATAACGACGTCGTAAGAAACATCGAATATACAAGCGAAGTTTATATGACCAAATAATGATTGCAATTCCCTAAGAGTGACTTTCTTTCTTTTCCTGTACGAGTTAAGTAAGGATCTTAGGGCTTGCACTTTGTTCTGAGGAAGTTTGGCGATCATTTACTTAGTATCAATAAGAATACCATGCACTTTTACACAGGTAGAAGGCAGGACCGTTTTAGCATGTTTAATTGGCGGATTCTTTTGCCAACGATATGAATTTTTTCAAGGAGTTAAAACATTCCCCAGTATCAGCAGAACCAACAAAAATGAAGTCATCTATAATGTGTGATACTTTTTGTACTTCACATTTGGTTTTCAAAATCAACTGTAAACAACATGGAAATTTTTCCAATATAGCGAATGAGGCAGAAGCTCCCATAGGTAGTGCTGTATCGAAATAAAACTTATTATCAAAAGAAAAGCCCAACTTTCTGAAATCTAAAGGAGACATAGAAATAAATCTGTATGCATCCTCAATGTCAGCCTTAGCGATTTCACAATAGTAACCAGAAGACAGGACCAATTTGTCTACATCATCAAAAAGTTCTAAACAAACCTCTGAATTATCTTTTGGAATAAATGTGTTAACTGAGGATCCCCATGAGGGGTAAGATAGATCATGTATGAGTCTTAAAGAGTGATGGTCTTTTTTAGAGACGACGCCTAAAAGGGGAGCAAACTACGTCATGCAACGATTTAGTCTTAGAAGGCCATTAAATTATTTGCTTTAAAGTCTCAGAGGAAAGCTTCGTGCGAACAAAATCAAGGTGAGTGCCAACAGAGCGGTGGTTGTTGGCTGACAAGGCCGGGACATAACCGACAGTAACTAAAGCCGTAAGTAAAACCATCAATTACGGATTGTTTGAGAGAAAAACTATCAAGATATTGTTGTAGGGAGGTTCCATTTATAGGAGTTGATACCATAAAGCCCTTATTACTTGGCTGTGTTGTTTCCTTTTTTTGTTAGGTTGTTTGAATTTCCTATAATCAAAAGGAAGCAGGAGATGGCTGCATGCTGTCCTTCACAGTTTGCACATTTGTGACTGAAAAAGCAGGACTTTTTTGACCAAGAGTATCTTTTTTGAAATTCCTTACAGTAACATTTTCTTTGAAAAATTTAGGGCAGGAGTTATTTCCGAAAGGAATGGTTGTTGTTTTGGACCCGTTGATTGGCTGGCTTGTCAATTGAGCAAAAAATAAATATTCTGTATGGATTATCCCCATGGTTGAGGATTTGCTGCCCTTTGCTGCCTAAACTTAGTGTCATACAACAACCAGTTATCAATAGATTGGGCCAACCTTTGTATGATAGACATATATTGGAAGAGGATGGACAAGACTTAAAGGTTCCTAAATCCACTGGGTTTTCACCCAAATTAAGGGGAACAGGTCCAGAATCGATGGTGCTAAGACTAACATCATCCTCATGGGTGTCCATTTGTTCATGATTAGAGGGCATGGATTGAACTTCCTGGTCCGAGTCAATGTCAGAATCCAAAATATTAGGGAAGGCTTGTCTTCACAATATGATTTTAATAACTGATTTGTTGCGTCAGCCTTGGCATTATATACATGGTCACCAGCTCTATGTAACATTTCATAGATGACAACAACTTGATTACCACGACTAAATATATTTGTACATAAATTATTAACGCTATCTATCCGCATACTGATTTGGCTACAAATTTGGGATGCATAAATCATTACTTCCAATGTCTACGACTGTGCAGTTTATCTCCAATAATTTTACCAAATATACATCACACCAAAGTTATTTCGCTTTAGACTTTACATAAACTCCGCCCACTCCATGCCAATATACTTGCACCCGGTCCGAATCTAAATTTAAATTCAACAAACATTTCGTACCACACCATTTCTGGAGGCGCTTTGTAAAAGAGTGGTCCAGTAACATAACATTCTTAACCATTCTCCAACAAAGAGATTAATGAAAAGGAACGATACAATTTATGTAACAAACCCACGCTATCCTAAGTAGGTCATCTAACGGCCGTCGTTGCAGCTCACGCCGATAAAACTATTTCCTTTTAACATTGAAGCTGCTTGCGTTATGGATCCATGTGGTAGAATAAATAAGTTTTCCCAAATAAAGATTTCTTGAGATTAACTTTTGAAAAATAAAATAAAATAAAAAAAAATCAGATAAAAAATTTGCGTGCGACACCAAGTGGTGAAAAATTTCCTATAAACCGAAAGATGAAATTACACTGAAAAGTGTTTAAACACCAGAAATGCCTTAAGTGTGTTAAGATGTAGATAAGATGTAACTGTACAAACATAAATCACTTTATACTGTTCGCTATATAAAGTATAATTTTATAGTCTTTTCTATCTTAGCTCTGGCGACAATTTTGTTAAGCAGACTGGACCCAGTTTAAAACTTTTATAGAAAACTATCCAAGGATAATTGACGTATAGTTTTATCATAATTTACCGAATAATTAAGGAGAATAGCTCGTTTAAAGTATTTTTGTTGTCTTTCAGTTCAGGCGATGAATTTATTCCGCAGATCGGAAATATTTTAGCAATTTTGCCCAATGATTGTTTCATAAAAATCCTTCGGTGACAGGAAAACTGACTTGTAATATCACTAAAGAAAACTAGCTTTTATTTATTAAACGACACCAATTGATTTGAGGTACTATTTTACTAAGTCAAGGTAAGGGACTATTGATCATAATATTGTCAGTTGATAACAATAGTTCCTTCCATTTTAGGTTTGTGAAACATCACTTTTGATACTTTTATAATACATGTATATATATATAATATATTGACAAAAAATCCTGTATGGGAACATTCATAACTGTTGTTTAGTTTTCAGTTCGAACAAATAAATGGAAGGTCGGGCGGAACAATTAGATCCCGGTGCGGAAGCGATAGCGAGTGCAAACAACATCTTTTCACAAGGAAAGGTATCAATATTCTGTTTCTATTGTATAATATAATGTAACGCTGATTAATTGATACATCAAATTTTTTATATGATTAATTATATAATGTTTCCTACATGTCAGGTTATGCCGGAAATGAACCAAAGTAAAAATAAAAGAAACTCCATGTTCGTACCGGTGGTTGAAAGAGGTTTAACACATTTACATCAAACGTTTGACAAAGTGGAAGTTTTCAGCAACTGTGTATTTTTTGCAGTATATATATAATATTCTTCTTACTACTCCGGTACAGGTTGGTCATCCAACGAAACATCGGAAATTATATTGAGTTGTATGATCAAAGTGTTGTGAACATAATTTCAGTTTAAAACGTAACATTAGAAGTCTTTTCAAGCGTATGTACCATGAAATCACAAAGAAAATGTCTAAAGAAGGCTAATGAAAGCAATAAAATGACAAAAAGGCGTTTTCAGCTGACATTCTGCATCGGATCAAAACCGCGGTCCGAATTTTGAACAAAATGCGTTGTTTTTGAAATCGAACAATAGTATAGATGAAAAGAGAAATTTAATGTACTGCTGAAGATGTTGCTTGTTTATTAATTTAATATCTTTTTAGTATTATGTTTTTCATACCAATTTTTATTGCACCATTAATACAATGAAAAAGACAAGACTAGAGCATCGCATATTAGCTTTATTTACAAATATTATATACTGAATTTATTTAAATGATAAACGTAACAATGAAAATAAGGATTAAAGTAGATTTATATATTTTGAAAGTGTATCTTACTGTGTTTTCTTGTGACAAAAATATTGCTGAGAGGTTTTCCAAAAGTAGTAAAATGGTAGTTAAAGTACACAAGGGGTCGCCCACTTAAATCACGAATAAGTATCGGGTATGACCACGTTCAGCATAGAGGACTGCCTGGCATCGTCGACGCATAAAACGGATTAGTGTTTTGATTTCAGCCTGTGAAATGATGTTCCATTCATGAATTAAGGCTTGTCTTAGCTGAAAAACGTTTGAGGGTGGAATAGGGCGACGTCTAACACGTTGGTCCAAATTTTCTAAAACGTGTTTAATGGGATTTAGAGCAGGGCTTTTTGTAGGCCAGTCATTAATAAATATAATGTTATTCCCCCTGAGGAAATCCACAGTGCCATAAGCTGTATGGCTTGTAGCATTATCATGACTCAAAGAGAGATATTCGCATTATTTGAAACAGGGAGATAACATGCTCCGCAATAATCTCATCTCAGTAGCGTTGGCAATCAAATTCGCATCGATAACGACAAGATTAGTGCAAAAGTTCAATAGCGCAGCAGTCGGCAAAACGTTAATTTCTCCTACGGTATACTCGAACCCTGCCACAAGCTCGACGGATGGAAAACCTGGACTCGTCAGAGAAAAGAACGCTATGTACGTGGCCAATTAACACGATTTACGCCGCGACATCGCCTCAAAACACAACCAACGTATGGTCGACATCCATGTAGCCCACCTTCGCGCATGTGCTTGCGCAAAGTTTGTAGATATACGGTTGATTTGTGTACCAGAGGTGCTAGAAGCAATAGCTGTAGCAGGTTTGAAGCGATTGCTCAGGTTGGTGTTCCGAATTCAGCGGTTTTGGGTTCGCGTCGTGACGCGCGCACGTCTACTACGTGGTTGATTTTCTGTGCGTCCTGTTGCTTGCAAACGTTGCCCTAGGTGTCGAGTAGCACGAGAAGAACTTCCAATATTCATAGCGACGGTATTCATCTCATTCCAGCATTATGCATGCTAATCGCACGTGAGCGTAAATTTTGTGGACTTCTAGGCGTCTAAAAATTAAAAAGAAATGAAGAAACAAATCACCGTCTTTTTTACATGGAAGTCAATAACATAACAATGAAAGATTCCATAAAATAAACACGAATGTACTGGTCCGTGCATGCACATGAAATTGGAAGCTGGTTTCTCCTTCAAAACGAGTTTAAATCATTTATCGGACACATAATCGTTTTCCCGAATATATGTATCTCATTTGACATTTTGATTTTTCTAATAAAATATGATAAACAAGATCAACAAGGAAAGGCGGCGTTAACTAACACTATATCTCTACTTAAACACAGCTTCTTTCTTTTCTTTCTTTTTACGTTCAGTACATTTCATTAATTTCATGTATGTTACAAGCCTTTTTACGACCATGTCCATGAACAAGTGGAGTTACATCCTGTGTGTGTCCGAATTATAGAAACGCACCAGTTCCAGATATTGAGACACATGAAACTATTAGACACCTGTTACCTGGTGTACCCAGGTGCCATTACAGGTTCGAGCACTCTATAGGGTAAACGATACATCTACAGGAATGTTTTGGATCTTTGAATAGTTGGATACCGCATATTAGTTTAGTATTATATTTTATTATTTTCATATACGTTACAAGACTTTTAACGATCCTATTCATGGGCAAGTGGAGTTACATCCTGTGTGTATCCGTATTATAGACACGCCTCAGTTCCAGCGATTAAGACACATCAAACAACTCGACACCTGTTACCTGGTGTACCCAGGTGCCAGTCATAACAGGTTCGAGCATTCTATAGGGTAAGCGATTCTTCCACATATCTTTGAATAGCTGGATAACGTACCATGTATTTACGTTCACTGTGAACCGCAAAATAAACATTTTGTCTGTCCGTGGACATGAACATTTAATGATGCTTCTGTTCTTCACAATAGTCGCATTCAACTATGAACAACATTTTAAACAAGCACATTTATAAGAACAAATCAGAAAAAAATATTCACGTGAATAACTTTAAACCTCTCATTCGCAACAGAGTATGCTACCTAGCAGGAAAATTATTAAAAACAATCCGAGATAGACAACCGGGCGAGGAAATATCAGACAAAGACATTCTGTGTGTCGAGATAGCTGGACTCTGCCACGATTTAGGTAAGGTAGAGAAAGATTGCCATTAACCTTAAAACTAAGAACTGTTTGTTCACACCATTTTATGAATCTATTCCTGCACAGATCAACATATATTTTACAGAGTAAGGTGACAACAATAATGACAATAGATGACGTTATTACCCGCATCTGTATTTTTGTAACAAATCTATTTTAATGAAATTAATTGCTAAAAAGTTTGTAATATACACATTGAAATGTTGTAAGTAATTATACTTGCAAATAATATTCAAATATACAAGTTTTTCTGAAAAGTTAATTAAGGAAAGTGAAAAAATGTTTTTCAATTGAAAACATTTTAGGTCAAGGACCCTTTTCTCATGTTTTTGAAAAGAGATTCATGCCGAAAATGGAAAAGAAGTTTACGGTGAGTTGATAATGTATAGACAAATCTAACTTTCTTTTTCCAATGTTTTGAGAAAAGCGGTTTGTCAATTTATTCGGTTGCATTAACGTTGATACCGCCAACTGGTTCCAACAATGAATGCTATTTTGATAACGAGCAATAATAATAAATTTAATGATACTAATTAACAAAATAAAAGCAAACGCATCATGTGGCATTTTTATTATTTAAAAGTATTTGATGAGCATGTAAAAGCAAACATTAAGGTACATGCATTCTAAAGGATAGATTATATACGTAACTTTTCAGCACGAAAGTATTGCTCGAAAGATGTTTGAGTACATGCTTAGTAGCGAAGACGGACAGTTGAAAAATGATATACAAGAAATACTTACAGGATGCGGGCTTTCTCGTTTCGAAGAACAAGACTTCACCTTTATCTGTGAAATGATTGATGATCCGGAAAACATTGAAAAAGAGGTAAGAAACACTCTAAAATTGCAAATTCAAGCTTAGAAATATATTGAATAAAAATGTAATAAACATTTTTAATGATAATGAAGAATGACATCTAAAGTGAAAAATGTAATTTTAATTAAACACATTAAGTATATTAAGTAATAGAGGCATTAAAATGAGACTAACAAACTGTTGCAATAAATGACAACCATATTATTTTATTAAAGATACACAGTATCACTGTATGCATGTTAGAATACTAAAGTAGAAAAACGCCCAAGGAACAATGATAACCAATTTATCATTGAAATGTACAACGTATTTGCTATGATTACATGGATTAGCAAGTTATGTTGGCTGGACTATTTTAAGCTGGATTGTAAATGTCTTTGATTATTATGTGACCCACCTTTGAGTACACTTCCAAGAACAAACATTTTTCCTGTCATGTAGTTAAGGATATATCGTTGTGTCCGAACTTGAGCTCGAACCTACGGTCCCTCATTTGAGAAACAGACACCTTGAAGAATATCTTCTTTTTTTGGCTTACTATTTTAATATTTTCTGAAATGTTATTTCGTATATTTAGTGTCCCGTCAATATTTTGAAACTACAATCATTAATGTATAACTTTAAAAGAGGAATATTTTATCACCGCAATATTTAAATCTTAGTGTGTTTATTTGCTTTTAAATGGCACATCGGTTGAATATTACTAATGTAGTATGTAATTTTGTTCCATAAATTTGACAAGGTATTGATATATTTCAGGTATGGCCATACAAAGGTAGAAATAAAGACAAAAGTTACATGTATGAGGTACGTTTTACGATAACTTAAAATATGGGGGGAAACGTAGCTAAGTTAAAAACTGATAATTTATGGTGAAGAAATCAACAAACCTGTTTGAAAAAAAAATCATACTTTTAAGCCAACTGTGCTTATATGAGATAGCCATGTCCATCGTGTATAATGCGTCTTTATCAATTTTTACACTACATTCTTCTACATAGCTGCACAGGAATAGTCCTCATGTGGCCCTCTCAAAACGTTATATAAATGGTTCGAGTCAGATGCAGCAATAAGCCATAGTTGCTAAATATACATTTATGATTAAATGTTTAAAAGCTTTATCTCCATAAACTACATTTTAGGCAGCCTACACAGCAGGCAGTAATATCAACTTGTGGTCGTCTACAAACTATATAGACTTGATCCAGTGATAGGAGTTACGTAGTTGGATAGAAACAAATATTTTTTAACCTTTCTAAGACAATATTTCCTATAGTTTTCTTGTATAGAAATGCCTATTAGACCACACTATTACTACGGCCCGATTATAACACAATAATCAACCCCAATTACCCATTGGATAATTATGTCAATTTTTTGGAAATGGTTCTCGGGTATACGGCTACTACAAGTATATCTTTCTTTGTGATTAGCTTCTCGCAACGATTAGATATTTTGTTTCTTCGTAATTTATTGTCACCTTGGCCAAAAGTTTAGTATGTATTGTTTAGGTATTTGAATAAAAGATATTAAATTACATTATCAATAGGTAGTTTCCAATTTTTACAATATTTAGTGACAACAATTTTTGGGGGGTCAATATTCTACAATAATTTAATTGACAAAATATGTATATACTGTTGATTTACGGAAATTATCAAATTATTTTATATAAATGAAGGATAGTATTATTTAGCATTTAACATGTATAAATTTTAAAGATTGTCATCAGTTTTTAAAGATGAAATAATTATGAGTGATTTTCTATATATTCTTAGGCATATAAGGGAATGACCCTTCAAATATTGACTAAGGGTTGAAGTTATTGTTATATGAACAGCTTCTATTTTATGTTATCACAATATGTAAGATGTCTTGTTTTAATTAATGTACGCATGCAGCAATGCAAAAATGCCACAAGGCAGAATTTAAATAAAAAAGAAGCAAAATGTGAGACAAACGAAACGCAACAACAGTTCTATTTCATTGTATACTTGCAATTAAGCATTTTCTCTGCAAAAATGATACGACAAATCATGCAAAAACACGACTCGTTTTATGTTTCGTATTTTTGCCTTTCTGTTGTCGTTCTTTAGTATTTTGACTCATAAATTGAAAAATGACATACACGAAGTTATTCGAAAAACTGACTTTGTTGCATCTTGTGTTCACATTTTCCAATTTTGCTGCGAAAAAGCGAAAATTCGACATTGCCATAATAGTAAGTACTATTTGAAACCAATCTTAAAAAGTTGTGCACATCTAAAACATATCAGAAATAAATCAGAAATAAATGTCTATATTTGGGTCAATATGTACAACATGCAGCAACATTTATATGAAATTTAGATATACAGATTAATAAGTATACCAGCTTTAGTAATTAGAAACCATGATTGATCCCATCTATGTTTTAGATAGTAGCAAATAAGAGAAACGGTATCGACGTTGACAAATGGGACTATCTTGCACGTGATAGTTACATGCTGAGAATGAAAGTCAATGTCGATTACAACAGGTGTTTTACAAATGCAAGAGTTATCAAATGCAACGGGATAAATGGCAGGCAAGATTCCCCAAATACCGCCTCAGATACCGGTAATGGTCAAGTATACCGGAAACAAATATGCTATAAAGATAAAGTGAGTAACTGTCATAAACATTTATCTTTAAAACATAAACATTTTTGTTCTCAGTATTTGTATATTTCATTGACTATTTCAATTTTGTCATTTGAGGTCAATTGCAGAAAGAATATAATCAAGATGTTTTATTCCAGTTATATGGCTAGGTTAACGTATAAACGGTTGAGAGTTTATAAATATAGCCCAAGCCTGTATATGGGTGATATATTGCAAAGTGAAATTTTACGGCTTATTAACTGTCAGAAATTTTATTACGAATTATAATACAACACAATGTCTAATGATGCTATTTTATTATGGGCAGATATATTCCAATGAATACGTTTAAAATGATGGATTGGCATCATAATGTCAATAAATATAAATTCAACACGATTTATTTTCAGCAAAAAGAAATTTATCATAAAAGGATTATATCAGTATGTTATGCATGGTTATTTTTGTGTTTTATCTAAATATTTAAATGAGGATAACAAACGATATTCCACATTGAAAGGCATTGTGTTTACTTCTGACTTTTTATTATTAATATATTGGAGGCTAAATTTGTTTGCTTAGGATGTGAAGAGTCTTGGGTTCGAATCCCGATCGAAGTAATGTGAATATTTCTTCTCAAGAAATTAAACAAGACGTCGTATTAAAAGTATGGTTGAGTTTTAAAATGTACATAAATGGTAGATAAATGTTAAAAATTCTGGCCAAGCAAATTCATGTAAGTCCTTTTCCACACACAAGAGCACCTGTTTTATTTGGTTGATTAAGCTGATAGCCATTTTGTCACAAACACCACTTGCCTTAAATAATGCGTATATGTCATCTTATGAAGTAAAACATAACAGCTTCTATCAAACTTTGTAACTTGTTTGAAAACATTGCTGACTGAATGTCCTATTTAAGAATCTTATAATCACTGAAAATAAATACCTACATAAAATTAAGTAAAATGCACACTGACGCCATTTCGGAATTTAAAAATCAAAACAAAAATAAACGAACACAGACTTTTAATAGTACATGAATTGAATTCCTTAATTTTTTTATTTTTCGATATCAAAAAACAAGCGGAAGAAGTTTGAATTGTAAGAAATAAAGCTATTTGAGAACTTGTAAATCATTAAGTTATATTTTATCATTCTGGCTATATTATCTTCTTGTCCAGTCAACAGCATATACAACTATAGTATGTTAATTTGTTAACAAACATAATTTTGTACGTTTATACATATTCAAATATGACACTTATTATTCATCTTAATAATAAACTATTCGCTTTATAAAATTTATTAACTACTCGTACAGGTAGCTTTTGTTTCAATGATATATATTATAAAATGGTAGAAATATAAGGGCATGTCATGCATATATTATACTTAATTATAGTAATATATCTTCTGAAGATGTCCTCACATCCTCGACTTATATGTCTCATTCATCAGAAAAAATAGTTATACATGAATGTAAAATAAAGTCTTTAGGAACATTAAATTTATTTCATCTTTTCAAAAACATTTTATACAGGTAGAAATGGGTAATATTAAAGTAAAGAGTTAATATATAGTTTTAGAATTCTTATACCTGTAATATGTTAACAAATTGTGTTTTATCTTATTAAACAATTAAGGTAGCACAAGACCTGTATGACATGTTTTACACAAGGATGACATTACATAAACGGGCATATCAGCACAAGACTCATAAAATCATCGGAATAATGTATGTACTTGCTATTGAAATGTTTATGTACATGCATTATATCAATTTCAATTCCGAAATAAGATCAATCTTTTGTTTTGTCATTTCTGACATATTATCTTGAAATATTATTTCAATATTATCCATATAACTTCAAGTGAAATAAATGATTCGCGTTGTTTGGAAATGTCATGTGTAAGAGACTAACGTAAATACTGTCTGCCTTTAAATGCATTATTAAAAATATACCATTCGATTTCGAACTATGCTCTGTAAGGTATAACCCTTTGTTCAGTTTTTACACTGTGATCTTTGTTCGGGACATAATTCTAAAACTATCAGAGGTATCAACAAGAAACTTTATCGGTAGATAGATCTTATTAAGGAAAAGTGCAGTGCATAAGAATCGTTAATCTTATTGCCTTGCCTTATTTTGGAGTAATTGCTCTTTGTTCATTTTTACACTTTGAACTTTGTGCGCTATATAACTCTGAAACTATAAGACATATCAACAAGGAACTTTGTAGATAGCAAGATCTTATTGAGTAGAAGTGCAGTGTATAAGAACCGTAAGAACTCTGCCTTGTCTAATTGATGAGTTTTGTCAATTTGTACTGTGAACATTTTTAGGGATATAACTATGAAACCACAAGAGGTATCAACAAAAAACTTTGTATGTAGATATATCTTATTGAGTAGACGTGCAGTGCAAAAGAAGCAAAGCTCTGCCTTGCCTGCCTTATTTTGGAGTTATAGCCCTTTTTAGTTTTACACTTTGTACTTTGTATGGAACATAACTCTGAAACTACAAGAGTTATCAACACGACACTTTATATGTGAAAAGTTCTCATTCAGTTGAAGTGCATGGTGCATACAAGCCATTAATCCGCCTTTCCTAATATTAGAGTTTTTGCTCTTTTTTCATTTTTATAATGTGCAATTTGTCAGGGACATAACTCTGAAATTACAAGATATATCAACAAGAAGTAGTTTCTCTGTATCCAAAACCTGTTAGGGGAGCATCACCCGGTTCAACTGGCTTTTGTTTTCTTTCAGGATTTGCGATGCATTAGAATTAGCAGATGCTCATTTAAAAATACATGGAAAAAGGTATGTAAACATTTTAAATGTGATATAAAAGGAAAGTGCTACGATAAAAATTAAATAAATTCTTTACAATAACACTTTTTAACAAAGATTAATTCGGTTTATAAATGACTTGTTATCTATTCTACAACAAGCATATTTTTTGTTATCAAGACACCCATAAAAACATGAACAAAAGTTTTGAAAACATGTTTATTTTCCTTTAAACAATACCAAACAAATAACATTTTAAGGTTGATAACGAGTTGTGCCAATATAAAATTCCACCAGCAAAATTTACTTCCAATGTTTGGAAATACTTGTCTTGAGACAAAAGCAGTTTGTAAAGCATGCCACGGCGAACTGACTTATACGAGGAACGGTCAGCAAATATCCGGACTTTCCATGCTCCTCTCTTTCCACGTGCAACTATATACACACATTATATATTGGTGAAAACTACATTCATTCGCAAATAACGTGGTCAGTTTATTTTCAATGATATTTGTGTATACACAGTATTTTGCCCTCTGATATATGATAGGTGTTTCGTCTATCATGGACTTTTTGTTGGAAGAACAACGCTCTGTAATAAAGTTTCTTGTTGCAGAAGGTGTAAAGCCCTGCCACATCTTTCAGAGGCTTAAAAAATTATTTTCTGATAAATGTGTATCACGTTCAACCTTCTACAACTGGGTTTCTCAGTTTCGTGAAGGCAGAACATGTGTTTGTGACAGGCCTAGGACTGTGCGGCCAGCTGAGGCGATGACCCCAACAATGGTAGCAAATGTTAAAGCATTTGTCAACAAAAATCGTCGAGTAACTTTGGAGGAGGTAGCCAACAAGTTTAACAGCGGTAAGGCATCGGCACACAAGATTTTACACGAACACCTAGGCATGAGCAAGGTAAGTGCCAGGTGGGTGCCTAGACAGCTGTCCGCAGATCAAAAGGCAACCGGAGTAACCAATGCAAAAGAACATTTAAGTCGTTTTAATCGTAAAGGAGATAGGTTTTTGAACCGCATTATCACTGGAGATGAGATGTGGGTTCATTATTCCGAACCTGAGACAAAAGCTCAGTCAAAGCAGTGGAAACGAGCTGGTTCCTCACCTCCTAAAAAGTTTAAGCTGTCTCCTTCGGCTGGCAAAGTTATGCTTGTTGCCTTTTGGGATTCACGAGGAATAATACTTACTCATTTCATGCCAAAAGGTCAAACTGTCACCGCCAAGTACTATTCTGAAGTAATTATGAAAAATCTCAGAGAAAAGCTGAAGCAAATGAGTCCCAGGTTAGCACAGAAAAATGTCCCCCTTCTTCACGATAACGCCCCCTCCCATACCATCGCAGCTACAGTGGAGGTTATCAACTCTTACAAATGGCATTTGCTGTCTCACTCTCCGTATTACCCAGACCTCGTCCCCTGTGACTTTTATTTGTTTCCAGAACTGAAAATATTGCTTGCTGGAAAGAAATATTAGACCAGGGCGGCATTGATATCTGCTGATACACAGAACCTAAAACATAGGTCTACGTTATGGTTCACAACGGGAATACAAAAGCTCCCACGAAGATGGCAAAAGTGCGTAGACGTAGGTGGAGAATATCTTGAAAAAGAGTAGAAAGATATTTTTTAAAATGTTGAATGGTTTTCGAGAACGAGTCAAAAGTCCGGATATTTTATTTTCTGACTTCCCCTCGTACCAGTGGTACAACGAACTTGTCTAATCACATAAAGACAAGTATTTCCAAACATTGGAAGTAAACTTTGCTGTTAACGCGACTAATTTCAACCATTGTTGCAGACAGGATGTGTGACGTCACACTGACGTATTAACTTGAGTTCCGAATTTTTTTACCTTACCCACATAGTTCATGACAATGTTTTAACATAGTAACAGATCGGTTCATTACTTAACATGCAGCATACGTTGAATGGGGATAAAATATTGAAAGTTTTAATTTGGTTGAAATATACAGTCATATATTTCCATCAACACGTGCATATAGACGAAATACTTTGTATAATTTAATTCATTATTCATAATTCTTTACTTTAACCACAACGTTGGTCTGGAAGAAATATATCAATTTCATATGTGTACAATGAACAAAATATACATAAAATTTCATATAAATGGTAAAAAGGTCTAGATGAGTTAAATGTGTAAATCCATTATTATTGACCTTTAAATAAGTAAAATGGGGTTTTCCTTCGCATAATCTTCTGCGTTAGTAACGCAGAAGCCGATATAGTACGGTACGCCTGGGGTCCGAGATCGTATTTCATAGTTTATTAATGTGCATGCTTGTACAGCTGTACTATATATGGGAGCCTACTGGTGCCAATCCATATTGTAGTATTAAAAAATATATTCTATGTAGGAGATAAATAAGCCTAATCAGGAGTTTGTTACTCCTATATAAGACTATAATTCTCACAGGTATGACTTTTAACTCCTACGTAAATGATACAAAAGCCTAATTGCTACTTTGTAACTACTACATGGAAGACAGAAAAGCCTAATCGTGATAGTTCATATCTCGTTCAATAAAAACATTATAATTATAACGTTGGAGATAAAATACTAATAAGTAAGTAATAAGTAAGAGTTTTTATATCCTACGTAGTAAAAACCTAATCAGGAGTTTAAAACGTAAAAGGTTTAATTCCCTAATTACGCTTTTATTTCCTACATTTGAGTAATAAAGTCCTAATTAGGCTTTTTATATCGTAGGAGTTCTACACGCCTAATTACGCCTTTTTATCTCATACGTAGGAGTTTCAGGGTTTTATTTAGTTTTATTTTAATCTCCTATATCGGAGTTAAAAATCATTGGTAAGAGTTATTAACTCCTTATACGAGGGGTGTTCAAATATCAATGCAACTAGGCCAATATCTCGCTTTTAACCACGTTTTGCACGATCTAAATACATGTATCGCATAGCTGGTTGTGTAAGCTCTCTCGCAATTGATACAGTTTTTTACCCGATATGACCCATATTCGAACTCATCCAAGCAATTGCCTAGGCAAGCATTCTGACCAAGTTTGATGATAAGTGAGTCAAAAATGTGACCACTAGGGTGTTAACAAGGTTTTTCCATATTTGGGCGGTGTGACCTAGTTTTTGACCCCAGGTGACCCATATTTGAACTTGACCAAGAAATCATCAAAACAAACTTTTAGACCAATTTCCAGGATATTCGGAGCAAAACAGCTACTAGAGTGTTCACAAATTTTTTCTATTTTTAGCTTCTGTGACCTAGTTTTTCATCCGAGAAGACCCATGTTCGAACTCATGCGAACAATTGCCTAGGCAAGCATCCTGACTAAGTTTGATGACAATTGAGTCAAAATGTGACCACTAGAGTGTTAACAAGGTTTTTCTATTTTTAACTCCTGTGACCTAGTTTTTCATTCGAGATGACCCATGTTTGAAATCATCCGAGCAATTACCTAGATAAGCATTCTGACAAAGATTGATGGTGATTGAGGCAAAAATGTGACCGCTAGAGTGTTAACGAACAAGTGTGGACGGACGACGGGCGACAGACGACGGGCAACGGACGACGGACATTCAACGATCCTCAGAGCTCACCCTAAGCTAGCTCAGGTGAGCTAAAAATGAAGGATTTGATTGTTATTGATGCAAGATTTACAACTAGGTATAAAGCTAAATGCGTTGGTATCTCTATAGGAGCCGCTCATACAATAATTATCAGAAGTGATTTAAAAATGAGAAGGATAAGTGCCAGATGGATACCCAATCTCCTTACAAAAGAGCAAAAACTTGCTTGAGTAAGAATTTCCAAACTATTGTTGAATCAGTTTCCTAAATAAAAGAATCAATCTTTCGCAAATATCATCACTGGTAATGACACATGGGTTCCCTTTTATGAACCCAAGCAAAAGATACATAACAAAATATTGGCAACAAAAAGAAAGTCAAAGACCTTGTATAGCAAAATGCACCATGAGCGTCAAAAGGTCATGTTTGTAATTTTCTTTACCAATCAAGGTCATGCTATTCAAATTGCAGTACCAAAGGGTAAATATGTAAATGCTAAGTTTTACAAAGGCTAGGTCCTTGATAAATTAAAGAAATATTTCAAAAACCATCGACCAGTAACTGGTCTCCGTGGTGCCAGGTTGTTATATGATAATGCTTCGTCACATAAAGCTGCCATTGTACGAGAATATCTGAAACAGAAAAAGGTTGTCGAGCTTCCTAACCCTGCGTGTTCGCCAGATCTTGCCATTTGTGGCCTTTTCCTATTTCTGACGCCCACAAAACACCTTGCTGGAAGAAAATATCAAACGCGAAAAAATCAAGGTTAGTGTCTGAACATTTTACATCGAAAAAAATTATGAAAACGTATTTAAAAATTGAATTAAAAGACTAAAACTTTGTATCTAACATGGTGGTGAGTATTTTGAAAGATTGAGAAATTTATTTTGACACTGTTTGTAAAACACTTCTGAAAATTGACACAGTTGCATTCATATTTGAACCCCTCGTTAGACTTTTTATCTCCAACGTAGGGGTTATTTAATATATTTTTAAGTATTGGCAACAGGGCGCTTTAGTAATTATAGGATGAAATCAATGAATTGTTACTACATGCTGCTTTTAAGATACAATTTGAAAGCAAACATGAAATAATCGTAAATGGCAACCTTTTAGAATTTCAGAAACTGTTGACGATATGGAAGCCTACACATATTTGAATGATAATGTCATTCAGTTGATTATTAATGATAATAATCCAAAGCTTGAAGCAGCACACAATATTTTACAAGATATTATGTGCAGACGGTTGTTGAAATGTGTAACACAGACACATTGTAAGGTATATTTACTTGCCCATTTTAAGTAGTTCAATACAAATAATTTGTGTACTTATAGATGGTTTACTTTTAATGAAAGATACTGCTATTTTACAGATAAAGATGTATTACATATTGACTGCAAAATATTTGAAAAACAAGTATTACATCAATTTAGGAATTTTGGTACATATGCAAATAAAAACCTGTAGCAATATATGTGTTGAGTTATGGAATCTGCTATAAAAGTACACCATTTTTGTGTTGCTTATTATGGAAAGCCATGCGATGTTTGTATCTTTATTTCCAGTCTTAATACATTACACCCAGTGATTCTTTTTCTTAGAGGTTTTACTTATACAATGTTTTGTGTATATGTCCCTACAACAACAGTCAGTTAATGTGTGAATATTTGACATCGCAGCACATATACGAAATTCCTTTGTAAAACATTTATTGAAATGTGTGTAAGTAAAGCCATATACAATGACAATAGGCTTATTAGTAAACTAACAAAAATGGTACATGGATGTTATTTGTTTAAATGGAACTAAGAATACGTCATTATATTCACGTGTTAAATTAGACAATAGTTAATTCTAATTTATTAAACTTTTTAGGATAAAACCTTGAAAGAAAATCATTTGAAAGAGGGCATATTTAAATATCTGAAAGGAATACCAATTGAAGAAAATTTCCTCCATTATGAAGTGAGTATTGTACAAGATAATCTGAATTCTAGTATTCGCAAAAATATTGTTTTATTGAACGTTCATTTATTTATTGTCTGCTATGCAAGTGTTGCCGTTTTCTGTAGTATTGGCAAAATGAAAACAAATAGCAGGTTAACTTTGTACCAACTAAAAATGAGTTGCCTTTCTTAATGTAGATATTCCGTTGTAAATAGCGATTTCTACGTTATGTTTCCTGAATTAGAATATATTCTGTAAATATTTTAATTTACGACCGACGGAACACATTTACACGCTTACAAAGTTGAGTTTCGTAATTCCATCGTTAAAAATAAACAAAAGATATTTAGGAAATTCGCTAATTACAAAGTAGGCATGTATTATTGAAATATTATTTTTAAAGGAGATAAAACACTTAAGAATAAAAGTTAGTTATCCATACGTAACAACGGTAACTCTTAACCCAACACAATTTGTGTTATAAATTTTCCAACCTTTGAGTTTGTAACAGTTCATCAGTTTGTAATAGATCTTCCTAAACATATATAATTTTATAAAGTTTTTCCTTGATATATTTATAACATTTTCATTAGTTATTTATGCAGCGTTTTTCCTAGATATGTTTCTAACCTTTTTCCGAAATATTTTTTGTAAATAAATACTTTACCCAGTAAAAAGACAATTGCAACAACTAACGTTGTAATTACAGATTGTGAAGTTTAATAATGGTATGGAGAATAAGGACCCCCTGGAAAAAGTACGATTTTATACAAAAGACCACTTGGATGAGCCAATAAGATTAGCTAAAGACCATGTAAGTATTTATCGTGCGAATACCATACATGCATTTAGGGTTTTCTTCTGAATAAAGGGACCATGAAATAAATAAGTTATTTTTTTGAGCTGGTTTGGAACCCTGCTATTCCAAGTAATTGCCATGAAAAGGGACTTATCTTCAACACAAAAAATGTACATATTTATCAATGTTATGCTATTGTTTTGAATGCAAACTTATGCAGGTTTTCTATGTTAAACAAATGTTTCTAATTCGAATAAATAAGAAATTAAAAACCTAACATGTTTGACCGTTATGCAGGTTTCCTTCGTACTGCCAAAGGTTTTTGAAGAGTGCAGCATACGCCTATACTGCAATACTAAAGACCGAGGAAAAGACGAAATTGTCGAAAAAATCATAAAAGCATTTGAAAAATGGTATCGGGAAAAGGTAGGCTTAAAAACACACTTATTGTTTTCATCTAAATAGGGACATAGTATGATAATTATGATCTTCAATATTGAAAAGCAAGAGTTTGTGCCACTTGTTTCTTTTTGACTTGATGATAATTTTTTTTTCTATTTTCAAGTTCGGTAATACACAAGTCCCTTTAGTGGTTGAGGGCTTGCCGTCACTGGTTGACAAATAAGATTTTCAGCTACAGCTACCCTTTATACCTGCGTGATCGTAAGAGGAACTAAAAGGGTTTAATTAATTTGTGCACATGCTCCTCGTAGCTCTAAAGAGCAGGTGAGATGATTTCAACCCCTGGTGTTGCTTATAGTTTGTAACACCCGAGGTTAGCCAAAATCATCTTTCCTGTTTTTGAAATAACATATACTTTGTTGGTGTGGCATAAAATTAAATAAACAATCTTGCACATAAATTGTAATATTTCTAGTAAACAATATTTGAAAATATAAACTATGGGATGAACCCAATTTAAAGCAGCACGCCTCCAGATTCATGCTAATTTTCATGAAAATTTTGAAAATGTATTTTAAAGTGTTATTTAGTGAAATAACCAAACGGAAGCAATTTACACATTATAAATGGCACTTACAACCCACGTAAACTACTAAAAAGAGGACAAAATATGCAAAAATAGCCCTTACTGCGTTAGTTACGGAGTAGAAATATAGTTATAAATACTGAAAAATCAGTCATTAATCGCCCAAAACATGTAAAATATCACTTGAATCTTGAATATTTTTACATTTCCTAAAATCTGAGTACATTTTTCTCAAGTTTGATTTTATTGAAATATTTATGCTCATCTGGAGGCATGCAGTTTTAAAACCTCAATGAAGAACCACTTCATTGCAATTTGTACTAAAAGTTATATCGGACTGATTTTAGCAAGTCTCTTCGGTAACATTAAATACACTTTTTCCATGTCAAGCTTTATCTTATAAAAGGAAAAAAGTTATGAAAACTGTCCATCAGTGTATTTTTTTCTTTCAGTCTTAAGTTACTAGTTATCTAGAATGATCTAGTTCTGTTCACAATCACACGATTCAATTTATAACAAAAACATGAACTGTAAGATAAAGGATAATCATAACACTCTTTGCAAATACGTTTTTAAGATTTTAGTTCTTAAATAAAATGATCAAATTTATTGAACAGAAGACATTTTGCAACCGCTGTTGTTTCCCTTACCGTATCATTTACTATTCGCATTTGCACCGGCTCTTACAACATCCCCTTTTGTAAACTTAACTGTATAGAATGTGCCCAAGCACAATCAGGGTTTGCACCATGCAATCTTCAAATATAAGATATTATTTAATTAAAACTTATCTACTTTACCTTTTTTTCATTTTCAATGAAACGTTAATCTATGTCAAATACGTATTGAAACCTGCAATACCGGACTCTCCGTCATTCTATTGGGCTGGTACACAGCTGCAAGACGCAGCTTGCACTCGGCTAGCACTTTGTTTTAGTAATATGATTCGCTTTTTTAATGTGCTTGAGAGATCGTCTACGGTGTTGCACCTTCCATTTTTATCAAAAAACAGACCACCATCAAAATCTAAATCTGAAATTCGCACCATTAATCAATTTGAGGGATTTTCGGAGTATAATTATCAATGAATATTTTTTATTACTTCTAATCAGTCATCGTATAATTATTGTGTATTCTTAAGGAAACGTTCGCTTACGATATACATATTGAGCCATAAAATGAGTTTTGTTCATTTTCTTTCATTTTCATGCATTTTCTTCGTATTAAACGTCTTTTTAAAAACGTTCGTTTCACAGCCGTATTGTAAACTGCTACTAAAGTTTGCAAAACAAGATTTTCATAGAAGGAAATAATATTTTATATCTGATGGTCAACAGCTTTTAAAGCTTTATTCGGCATGATTAGTTGTTCCTGTTCCGAGCGATCACGCCGTCTATATTTTAATAATGAACAAAGATTAGCTAAATAAACAAACTGTTACAATTTGTAGGACAAATATCATCACACAGAAAATGATAAAGAAGATCAACAAGGACAGGCGGCGTTCAATGAACGCAATCCCCATGCGATCCAGCAACAAGAGCCAGTGGTAAGGAGCCCGGGAGGACCCGAAACAAAAACAGACCTGAAAACAAGAGCGTCAAATGACAAACTGGAAGGCTCAAACACACTGGAACGATCAGATGAACCTGTACCTAAACCCTTACCCGAACCTGCGTCAGGTCAATCAAGTCTAGAGCAGCCAATATCTTATGACGGAGAAGGGATAGATGTACGATCACAAACAACAGACCAGTAAAAGATGTGAAGTCAAAGTGTGATGGATATACCTTCAACAGCTTTTATACAATTTCCGGTATTTGATATAGAAACGTTCGTTGCTACGATATTTCATCTTAGTATATATTAATCATGTATAATTATTTTACTATTTAAATTAAATTACTATTAAGTATTACTTTTTAAGATTCAATGGATTGCATTACCATTTCAAACATTGTGATTAATCATGATTTGTAAAACAAAATGTAACCTCATTACACTTGAGTCGATGACCA